TGTTCAACCACATACAATGAATAGTATTTACGGAGGCTTTTAAAACTTACAAAAGGCCGGGTGAGGTGGCTCACACCTGTAATCCCAACACTGGGAGGCTGAGGAGGGTGGATTGCTTGCGGTCAGGTGTTCGAGACCTGCCTGGCCAACATGGTATAACCCTGTCTCTACTAAAATACAAAAATTAACTAAGCATGATGGCGGGTGCCTGTAATCCCAGCTACACAGGAGGCTGAGGCATGAGAATTACTTGAACCTGGGAGGTGGAGGTTGCAGTGAGCTGAGATCATGCCATGTCATTCCAGCCTGGGCGACAGAGCGAGACTTCGTCTCAAAACAACAACAACAACAAAAACTAAAATTTTATTCCACAAAAGAACCGAAGATCCTACAAAGAGAATGAAAAGATCAGCGGAGCACAGTGGCTCACACCTGTAATCCCAGCGCTTTGGGAAGCCACGGTGTTTGGATAATCTGAGATCAGGATTCAAGACCAGCCTGGCCAACATAGTGAAACCCTGTCTCTACTAATAATACAATAAATTATTATGGCTGAGGCAGGAGAATCGCTTGAACCCAGAAGTCGGAGGTTGCAGTGAGCCAAGATCATGCATGCTACCACACTCCAACCTGGGCGACAGAGCGAGACTCTGTCTCAAAAAAAAAAAAAAAAAAAATAGTTGGGCATGGTGGCACAAGCCTGTAATCCAAGCTGCTCAGAAGACTGAGGCATGAGAATGTCCTGAGCCTGGGTGGTGGAGGTTGCAGTGAGCCAAGATTGTGCCACTGCACTCTGACCTGGGTGACAGAGTCAGACCCTGTCTCCAAAAAAAAGAATTGAGGAGATGAAAGAGAGGGGAATTCTGTTCTACTTAATCCTTTCACTTTCTATTCAGCTAATCAGGCCACGTGCAAACTCCACCTTCATTCATTAATAAACTAATCTTTTTCCCATTCACTGATATGGCTGGAGGGTCCAGGAGCACCACCCTCCCTCCCCCATCCCCAGGATGTGATTCTGAATCCAGAGTCAGACTGGACCACCTCTCCCTCCTGCCCCCAGGATTCCCTCACCTGCAATAGATGGATTAGATTCCTCCCTACTCTTCCCACAGAGTCAGAGTCTGAATCTGACTGGTGTGGAGTTTCGGTGTTTTTGTGTGTATTTTCCTACCAGGGTCTGCTAGATAAGAAGGAGCTTTCATGTTATCCTAAATCCCCACCAAACACACACACACACACACACACACACACACACACACAGCCGTCCTCCCTTCCCCCCACATCTGATCTAATTCTCTCTCTGCTCTGCTGAGGCTGGCCTGGCCTAAGAGGATTAGAGCATTTGCTAAACCGGACCAGGACAGGGTCACAGAATCCGCTGTGTTGGTGGGGGCAGGGACCCAGGGCCAGGACGGCCACCAGGGAGCGGCAGAGGAAGCCAGACGCAGAGACAGGTGTGGAGCACGGAGGAGGGGGCACTCCCTGGATTAGCAAAAAACAACGTCCACGGGGTAACCAGGAACTACATTCATTTTCAAAATTTACAACGTCCAGATAATTTATTAGAATTCAAAAGAATTGAGGGAGGTTCCCACAAACAAAATAAATAGATCAACTGAATCCTCTGTACAAGACAAATGTGTTTTTTAACAATAAGAAATACCATGTAAAATATCACACAATAATGTAAAATATTGAAATACTATGTAATAAGAAATACCATGTAAAATATTAGACAAAATATTTTAACAATAAGAAATACCATGTAAAATATCAGACAATAATGAAAATGAAGTGCAAGAAATAAATCTACAGAAAGATGCCTGCAAGATCTCTGTGGTTAAACAACATTTTGGCTGGGCACATTGGCTGGAAGCCTATAATCTCAACACTTTGGGCACCTATAATCTCAGCACTTTGGGAGGTGGAGGCAGGAGAATCACTTGAACCTGGGAGGTGGAGTTTGCAGTGAGCCAAGATCACACCATTGCATTCCAGCCTGGGTGACAGCAAGACTCTGACTCAAAAAAAAACAAAAAAAAAAGAAAGAAAATATTTGTAAAGAAATAGACTACAAAAAATGGGCCCAAAAGACCATGAATAGTCACCATTTAAACAAAAATAAGAAAAACATGTTTTTAAAAGTCACTACTTGAAGATTCCTAACGCCCATGAGAATTTCTCAACCTTTCAATCATCAGGTAAATGGATATTACAACTGCAAGAAAGCCGTAAGTCATTGGATGGACAAATATTAAAAAGTCTCACAATCCTCAGTGTTGGGGAAGATGTGGACCACGAGGAGTGCAGGGGAAAGCCCTTTACAAAGCTCTCAAGCAGCGTCCTCTAGTGCCAGACATCCCAGTGAGCCAGCACTCCAGTCCCAGCAGAGACATGCTCAGGCTCAACTCAAACGAGAGGCAGGGACACTCACAGCAGAGCTTACATGAAATGGCCACACAGTGAAGACAGCAAATGCCCACCTGCAGCCAGGTGGGTAAAGGGTGCTGCATTCGCTGTAGAAAGTCACCAGCAGTGGACCAGTCACTCCAGGCCCACTGGAATCTGAAGGCCTTGCAGGCACAGGCCCCCTATAAATCCAGAAACCCCCGGGGCAATGAGGGATTTTCATCCACAGAGCCATTCTTCTCTTCGTACTGAGACATCTGGGTGGAGACTGAGGAGTCCTCAAAGGCGTCTAGGGGTGCTAACAGCTCCGGCAAGTCGGAGAATAACTGAGTGTCTGGCCAGAAGCTGGAGGCATAGGGGCTCTGAGGCCACATGGAGTCTGGGGCCGGGTCTGGGAGTGAGGCTGGACCTGGTGGCATCAAGCATCCGCCTCGGACTGGGTCTGGGATTGGGCCAGGGCCTGAGACTGGACCTGGGACTGGACCTGGGTTGGAGGCTGGGCCTAGCATTGACCCTGAGAACGGGCCTGAAGTTGGGCCTGGGTGCGGGCCTGGCACCTGGGCTGGGCCACGGAGTGGGGCTGGGATCGGGCTGGGGCCTGGACCCGGGCCAGCCAGGAAGCCACCCTGCGCGCCTCGCTCAGGACCGCCCCAGGCCTGGTGGAGGCTGTAGGTCGTGGGTTTTGCTGCTGGGAGGATTCCCGAGGGGCCCGGCTGAGGGGACATCCAGGAATCCCAGCCCTGCGGGAACTCAGGACCCCCAGGGGCGGAGGCAGCGCCTGCAGGGTCTGGGGGCGCAGCCCGCACTCCGCAGCCTCTCGGTCCTGGGCCGCTCTGGGGCTGCTTCTGGAGCCGCCGCTCCCGGGCTAGTTTGGCGCGACGATTCTTGAACCACACCTAGGGGGAGAGGGGACAGGGAGGGGGTGTGAAGGAGAGGTTCGTGTGCCACCTCGGCCCAGGTGAGCGGCTGGTGGGGGAGGGCTGGCCTCAAGCCTCGCCCTGAGCTCACCCCCCCCACTGTCCCTCAATCCCCGAACCCCCTGCAAAGCTCCCACCTCCCCAACCCCCTGCCCCCCACCTCCCACCTTACCCGGGCCTCCAAGGCCTGGAGAAGGGAGGGGAGAGTGAGAGAAAAGGAGGGGGTGGCGCGTGGGGTGGGAGGGGAGGAGCGGGGACTGCAGCCCAGGAGCCTGGGGCCAGGGAGGGTTCAAGGGCAGGGACTCTGGGGGTGCTCAGGGGGCCTGGGGTCTGGACACCGGGAGACCCCGTGGGACACAGCCTGGGCTGATCACATGGGCGGGTTTGCGCCCGCACAGAGTTGAAGCAGGGCTCTGGGTGCAGCCCTGGTCTACACTGGTGTAACCCCTGGCGTAGCAAGGCAGGAGGTGGCTGGGTGGACCGGGCCCCAGTGACAGCGGTGGGGAGGCCTTTTGGGGTGATGACAGAGACGGGGCGGGGTGGGGCTGGGGTCAGACCTGCAGTTGCTGCTCCCTGAGGTCGAGTTTCTGCGCCAGCTCCAGTCGCTCGTCAAAGGTCGGGTACTGCTTCTCCTGAAAGTAAGCTTCTAGCTCTTCCTGCTGGCTGCGAGTGTAGACCGTGCGCTCCTGCCGCTGTCTCCTTGGAGGGTTTTGGTTCAGGGGACGGCCCTGGGCCGGGGGAGGTCCTGGGAGCAGGAGGGAAACAGGGTCAGAGAAGCCCCCAGGCAGCCCG